AATTCTGGCTTCCCTCACTGACTTTGCTGGGAAGGTTACAAATGGTGGCCACATGACTCCAGGACATACCAGTTGCCAAGCATCCAAATTTTGATCACGTGATCACGAGGATGCTGCAATGGTTTGTAAGCAGGGGTGGGATTCAAATATGTGAACAACCGGTTCTCTGTGTGGATGCCACTTCCGGAAGTCCATTCTGGGTCTGGGCAACCAAAAATTAGCTACCAGTTTTGCCAAAGTGGTGCGAACCGCTGAATCCCACCACTGGTTGTAAGTGTGAAAAATGGTCATCAGTCACTTTTTTCAATGTCATTTTAATTTCGAATGACCACTAAAGAAATGGTCCTAAGTTGAGAATTAGCTGTAGTAGATCTGTACTGCTAAAGCAGGGGTGTCAAACTGCTGGCCTGTGGGCCAGTTTCATTATACCGCGCCCACCCCATTGCCGGCAATGCAAAAAGAGTCGCCATACGTCGCAACACATCACGTGATGTGGCGAGTTTGACACCCGTGCTCTAAAGTCTTGAGGGACCTGACTTGGAAGCAGTTAAGTCTGCATAGGTACAGGTGCGAAACACGGCCTTCAAGGAATGAGCCTAATAGTCTGGCAGGACAGAAATGAGTGAGGCAAAAAAAAAGGGAAATCCTTTCATCTTTCTCTTCAGGTGCCAAAGTATTGTTGCCAGAGCAAATCCAAACCCTAAAAGCAATTTCTTAAACTGACTTTATTTGCAGCCAGTTTATGCAAGGGAGACAAACAGCTGAAGACTACAATGCATAAACATCCACTACCCTCTGAAGGAAAGCCTAGACTGGCCCAATATGCAAATATATGTAAATCAGTGATGGGATTCAGCCAGTTCGCACCACTTCGGCAGAACCGGTAGCTAATTTTTTGTTGCCCAGGCTCAGAATGGACTTCCGGAAGCGGCATCCACACAGAGAACCGGTTGTTCACCTATTTGAATCCCACCACTGATGTAAATTAACTTGTTGCAGAATGGTTTTAATTTATAAGGGCTTGCGCTTGAGAAAAAGGACATTTTGTCACAAACTGGAACGTGGATCACGTTTATACCACTGGAAATGGCATATTAATCTATTCAGTACTTAATATAACAATCAGGAGCAGTAGACGTGACACAGAACTTACCTCATTCATCTCTACGTCTTTCTCTTTTTCTTGGTCCTTTAGGGGTTTTTCTACTCCTAAGATTGGAAGATATTAGCAAATGTAATAGAACAAACTACAGCAACTCACTATGACCTGGTCAACAGCTATACTTCCCAGGCACCCATCCTGTAAAAGTGGACTTCACGATGTGGAATGGGAGAGCTCGCTGTGGCCAATTCTCCATGGCAACTCATCGCAGGACAACTCACCACAGGGCAATTCAACAATTCAATTTAATTATTTAAAATAATTTAAAAAATAATTTTAATTTTCATCTTTCACATTTAATTTTCTCCTTCCTGTGGTATCCTTTCTTTAATGATCCCGTCCCATCATTTTGAGGGAAGTCAGAGCCCCAGAGAAGGAAATATTAAAAAGGCAGAAAAATATATTTTTCCTCAAAAGGATTTTTAAAAGCAGAAACCAACCCTGCCCCCAAGTCTGTCTCCAGCAGGAGCCAGCCCTATACAAATGCAAATGTAGAACCATCAGAAAGTTGGAGCCAGAAACCTCAAGAAGACAAAGAGACCTAAAATCTGCATACCCCACCCAAACTCTAGGAATCATTAGCCCCATCACCAGAGAAGCAGGATATGATAATAGGATTAAACCACAGATACCAAGGCCTAGAAAAACACACTCAGATTCAGTTCAAAGTTCATGCCACAGGAACAGGAAACTATTCCAAACAAAAGGCTAGAGAGGGTATAAAAACCTACAGCCCATGTACTCAGACCCTTCTTTCCTCCGGTCTTTCCTGCAAGAATCATCTTTCTGCCTCTTCAATAAACTGTAACCATCTTCCCAAAGCAGTCACCATGTTGCTTATTTATTCCCGGCTTGGATGAACCAGGATAAAGACTTTACTTCCAACAATTTCTTCAATATTAGTGTAACTCTTATCCCACGGCAAGTTGGCTGCGGTGAATTGTCCTAGAACCCACTTCAGCAGACTTCAATAGAAAAACTGAGCCGAAAGGCTCTTTACTGTACCCAGTAAAACAGAGAAATAATTGTGGACATCACAATTTTGACTGTCAATGATGCACTGATTTGGATATACTAAGCATAAACAGGAAAATAAAAAAATTCATCAATCTTTATTACAGTCATAGATCAGCAAAAAGGAAAAACAAAAATTTAAACACTACTCACCAAGTGAATTCTGAATCCCTTGTGATTTTGGCTCCTTTGCAGTCTTACTGGGGCTTAAAAGGATGACAGAGAAATGCCTCCTAAATATCTGATTTTTATAAGGTTCATTCAAACAAGAAAAACATGGTGCTGTGCTAAATCAGATATTTAATATGAGCGCTGGCACATGTAGGATATCAAATAATTTTAGAATCTGAGGGTACCTTAAAAATCAACCCCTGGTTTGGCCAAAAAATAAAAGAAATAGCAATAGCACTCAGACTTATATTAAGGTGATCAACCGTCCTCCTTTAGGGAGGACAGTCCTCCTTTTGTGAGTTCTGTCCTCCCTCAAAAAGTGTCCTCCTACATGTCCTCCTTTTCGATATTTGAAGACTAATCTGCAGGGCTTTTTTTTTTCTCATAGAACGCTCAGAACGGCGTTCCGGCACCTTTTTTTGATGGTTTTTTTTCAACTTTTGCATGAGCTGTGCTACTCCCCCTATTGGCTTTCGAAAGCCAATAGGAATTGCTGCTGAGCGCGCCAAAACACCCGGCTGGCAAATTTTGCACATGCAAGTTGTCTGCAGCGAAGGCGAATTGGCAGGAACTTAGCACCCCTCCCTGCTACCCAACTACACCTAGTTAGTTCTGAAGATACTTGGAGGAGACTGGAGCAGTAAGTTTCTCTTCATCTTCACTCTGCTAGGGCAATAATGGCTGCGGGTGCAAGAGGCAGGGGCGGCGGGGGTGCTGCGGGCGGGGGTGTGAGGGGCAGCAGCGGCCAGATGCCCCCGGTGCTGTGGGAGCCGCGGGGCCCTCTCTACACGGGGCTGTGCAGGGTGGGCAGTGGTGCTGGCGGGGCGGCTGCAAGCGGGTTGTGTTGATGGCGGGCTGCCCCCCTGGGCCAGAGCCAGCACGGCTAGTGCTTTGGGAGCTGCGGGGCCCGCTCTACATGGCGGGGCAGCAGTGCTGGCGGGGTGGCTGCGGGTGGGGGTGCGGCGGGCGATTGACCTTCCATGGGCCGAACCAGCTTTTACGATATTTTTTTCTTAAATTTATTTGTGTCCTCCTTTTCATTGTAAAAAAGTTGGTCACTTTACTTATATACCACTTCACAGTGCTTTACAGCCGCCTCTAAGCGGTTTACAGAGTCAGCATATTGGACCCAACAATCTGGGTCCTCATTTTACCAACCTTGGGAGGATAGAAGGCTGAGTCAACCTTGAGTCATTAAGAATCGAACTCCTGGGGTGAGCAGTGAGTTAGCCTGCAGTATTGCATTTTAACCACTGTGCCACCATGGCTCTTTAAGGCCAAGTCCCCAGTCTTTCCTGCTTGGCGGACAGACAGGGAGGGTGGGAGAGAGGGGATGGTTCCATGTGAGGGGCAGGCACACTAGCGCTCGCCCATCACTTGTGTGGCCTGGTTCCAAATGGGCCGCGGCCCAGTAGGGATTGGGGACCTCTGCTGCAGGGAAACTGAGTGAGGTGTTCTATCTACAGCTCACCTAGAGGCTTTCATCCCTTTCTAATGATCTCACCTTCTTGAAGGTTTTATTCTATTTATCTAAAGCAATGTTTAGATAAAAGCCACAATTCTGATGACTTAAAGCTGTCAGGACTTTAACTCCCAGAATTCTCCAGCCAGCAGCCTGGTTGGGGATTCTGGGAACTGAACTTCACGCAGCTTAAAACTCCCAAAGTTGAGAAACACCGATCCAAACGGATAACAGCTAGCTTCCTGAATTGAGCTTTATAACAACTCAGAGGGGTTCCAGTTTTAGCTCCAGAAGGAATTGTGCTCCCCTAAAATAAACTTGTTTGTAATCTGGAAGTGTTTCTGGATTCCCAGTTCCTACTAGATCACCAGAAAGGCTTCACTCAAGCCCTCATCGCCTCAGTACCTGACTACTGTAACTGATGCTACATGGGACTGCCCTTGAAGAGCACCTGGAAAGTACAGGTGTGCAACAGCCCACATCCTGATGGGAGTGACTCAATACTCCCAAACAACACCTGTGTTATATGGGGAACTTCATTTGTTCCAGGATGCAATGTAAGATGCTCAAAATAGCTTTTAAACTTGTACATGGCATGGGACCTATGTAACTATAAGAGTCTTGTTTGCTCCAAGAAGAATCTACTAAATAGAACTGTGTGTTTGTCCCACTAAGTTAACCAGACCAGGAAATCAACAGGAAAGCTTAAATTCTTTTATTGATATTGGGCTATAATAAGAAGTTATTGCATATCAGATTGTGCTATACTTTCTTCCCCTTCTTATACTCCAGTGAATTAAGAAACTGTCTGTCTGAGTCACTTCTGAATATGATTTATCTGTTGTGAACTTAATGTATTTTTCACTCCTCATCACTTTGGTAATGGAGCTTACATATTTCCATCAAAGTCTTCTTTCTTTTTTTGGTTCCATGTCATTTTTTTTTTGGCCAGATTGTACGGATACCACCAGAAGACAGCTGCGAGCTGTTTCTCCCCAGCCTCCCACCATCATGGAAATCAAGGAAGTAACATCCCTACAGGAGTTGAACTGAATTCAAGGGAGACATTCCTGTCTCTTTTTACATCTTTACCTGATTCTCCGTGATTGAAGCTTCTCCCAGAGAATAAATATAGCTATCCCCATCCATAGGAGAGTGATGAATCCTATCACGCAACCGCCAGTGACCAGGATCTTAAACTTCTTCTTTGTATCTTTGGAGAGACATAAAATAGAGCTGAAAAAAGGAGCCATTCCAAAGCAGTCAAAAAAAGTCAAGATGGCAGCCTCCATTGTGTGGTTGAACCGTTACCCATGCTGCCCATGCGGGTTTCATAATTAGGGTTGCCAGGTGTCCACTATTTGAGCGTACAGTCCACTTTTTTCACATTATGTTCACTATTTTTTTTCACAAAATAGTGGACATTTTTTTTATTCAAAAGCTTTATGATGAAATGGTACGTAATCTAAAGCTGTACGGTCTACTTTTTTTACTACTTAACCCCCCCCCACTTGTCCGCTATTTTTTGGAAGTAGACCTGGCAACCCTATTCATAATTAAGATCTGGAACTTCAAACTGATAGAGCTGGCAGAGATGGCCAAATTAACTGTTTTAATTTTTTTTAAAAAGGAAAGTATCCAGTTTTGCTTCTATTTGGAAACCTCTTCTAGATTTTGTGTTTGAAACAGGAAAAAAAAATGAAATTTTGACTTTAGGTTTTGCTGATTAGATTCGATTGCTTTTATAGAAATGGCTACTACTCACTAAATATATAAAAGCAAAAAAGCTGAGGTTGTCATTTTATTCTGTATCTTACTGCACTGAAAAAGGCTGGAAGTTAAAGCCTTTTTTATTTTCCCTTTTACCCCCATTTCTTTTCCTTTCCTTTTCCCTTTCCCATTCCCCTATTATCATTATTTTCATTTCTATTTTATATTATGATAAATTTCAATAAAAAAAACCTAGAGAGCATATAATAAAAGTTGGAGCTTTCAATTGAACATCAAGACAAAATCTTGCAAGTTTGAAGTCAGAAACTTCCCACTGACATTTTTAATTGTTTGATGCATTGGGGCAGGCCCTTCCTATGTTTCTTTCTCTGACTGTTAAGCCACTGGGGACTCCTTCAGAAATAACATAGAATCCTAGGTCTGGAACGGAACCCAGAGGTCTTCTAGTCCAACCCCCTGATCAAAGCAGGAGACTTTTACCATTCCAGTCAAACAAATGTCCAGCCTATTTTTGAAAACCTCCAGTGATGGAGTATGCACAACTCTGGGGACGGAAGCTGTTCCGTTGATTAATTGTTTTCATTGTCAGAAAATTTCTCCTTACTTCTAGATAGGATCTCTCTTTAACAAGCTACCATCCATTATTTCTTGTCCTGCTCTTTCTTTCTGGAAAACCCAGATAGAGCTAGCAAAAGGCAGGACTAAAACTCACAGTTCTGGTTTGTTGGTTGGTTTGTTTGTTTGTTTGGCAAATTTATATGCTCCCCCAACTCACACACACTGACTCTGGGCAGCTTACAGCATTAAACATCCACAACATAAACCCTCAGAAAACCCCATCACCCCCAGTTCCCTCCTGCCCCCTTTAACCACCACACTACACTAAACTGATTAAATTAGTTTTCCTCTACAGATAGTCATCGACTTACGACTAGAACTGAACGCAACATTTCTTTTGCTAAGCGAGACATTTGTTAACTGAGGTTTGCCCCATTTTACAACTTTTCTTGCCACAGATGTTAAATGAATCACTGCAGTTGTTGTTAGTAACACAGTTCTTAAATGAATCTGGCTTCCCCATTGACTTTGCTTGTCAGAAGTTCACAAAAAGGTGATCACATGACCATGGGACACTGCAACCCTCATAAATAAAGTTTAATGAAGAGAAGGACATGATCGCAATGTTCCAATATCTCAGGAGCGGCCACAAAAAAGAGTGAGTCAAGCTATTCTCCAAAGCACCTGAAGGCACGACAAGAAGCAACGGATGGAAACTAATCAAGGAGAGAAGCAACCTGGAACTAAGGAGAAACTTCCTGACAAAACAATTAACCAGTGGAACAACCTGCCTCCAGAACCTGTGAATGCTCCAACGCTGGAAGTCTTTAAGAAGAAACTGGACAGCCATTTGTCTGAAATGGTATAGGGTTTCCTGCCTGAGCCGGGGGTTGGACTAGATGACCTCCAAGGTCCCTTCCAACTCTATTATTATTATTATTATTATTATTATTATTATTATTATTATTATTATACAGTTGCCAAGCATCTGGATTTTGATCACATAACCATGGGGATGTTGCAGCAGCTGTAAGTGTGAAAAAAGGTCATAAATCACTTTTTTCAGTGACATAACTTTGAATTGTCACTAAACTGTTGTAAGTCAAGGACTACCTGTATGGTAGTTTCAAATAAAGTGAGAGAGGGGGTTTCAACTGTGAAAACCCAGCTCTGTAATCCATACTGGTTCAGAACTAGCTTTGTATTGGAAAAACACCCTTGCGTTGAGTGCTTGAAGTGTTATGGATTGCTCCTACCTGTTTGAATTCATACTGAATCATAATCTATGCAAGTGGTAGCTCTGACATGGGCAGGGCATAAATCTTATACTCACCCAATGGTGCTGGGGTAGACCAGGGCGTTTCTTCAGACTCCAATGTCTCTGAAATTCTAAATTCATCTTCCAAGCAATACCCGTCAAACTGGGTAGGACATCTGGGATCGCTGCACTGCCAGAGACCATAATTCTGGGGACTGTCTTGGACTGTGATTGTAATTCTTAGGCCCACGGATATGTGATTAGAAGCTTTCTTCCCGTTTAAAGTCCAAACGATGGTAGAGCTGTCCTGAGTTTGGGCTTCCAGCTGGTCATCACAAGAATTGCAGGTCAGCTTTACCCCCTGTTTACTTCCATGGGGGTACTTGAGAAGGTTAACTTCCATCCCACGTCGTCGATTATCTGTCAGAAATACCAACATGTTATTCCTTGGAAGATTTGCAAATACAGAGGTAAGGATCCATGTCTATGGCGATTTCTAACACCCCCACCCCCACCAGGTCATGGCTGTCTCAAAGATGCTTTTCCAAAAGGCAATTGGCCTTTTCTTAGGTTTTTCATTTCGCTTCTTATCTGAGAAGCTTCTTCTGTTCTAACTGAAAAAAAGTTAAAAACTGAAGAAACTTCTCGGATGAGAAGCGAAATGTTTTCAAAGAAAAAAAAATCAAGAGAGTCCAATTGCCTTTTGGAAAAACCTCTTTGGGAAAGGTAAGGATATCTTTTTGGGAGACACTGGGATCTGAGTGAGAGGTTTAAGTTATCAGTTATTACCTGGTTACGTATAGAATTCCATACTGCATTTAGTGAAATACTCCCAATAAAAGGAGAGGTGGCGCTACAGGGAGAATAATAGAAGGAAATTTCTCCCCTTTATAGAATTGCAACTGCCTATCCAGCAAATCAAAATAATTTAGGAGAATCAGACAGGCAAAGATTCCTCATCTAATCATGAAGGAATCCATCAGAAGAAATAAATACTAGCAGAGCTTCTTCTTTTTTAATAGGTCAGTTAATGGCTACATAGGTAGTCCTCGAGTTACGATCACAATTGAGCCCAAATTTTCCTTTGCTAAGCAAGACAGTTGTTTAGTGAGTTTGCTGCATTCTTTCTTGCCATAGTTGCTAAGTGAATCACTGCAGTTGTTAAGCAAATCATTTGTTCATTAAGCAAATCTGGCTTCCCTCATTGATTTTAGCTTGCCTGGGAAGGCTACAAATGATGAGTTATCACATGACCCCGGGACAGTGCAACTGTCATAAGTACATGCCAGTTGCCAAGTGTCTCAATTTTGATCATATGATCATGGAGATGCTGCAACCCTTGTAAGTGTGAAAAACAGTCATAAGTCACTTTTTTCAATGATGTTATAAGTTCGAAGAGTCGCTAAACGAATAGTTATAAGTTGAGGACTACCTGTATCATCAACGATATCTAAAGAGAACCTTGTTGATTTGGGAAATATACTCGCTTGTCAATCAGATGCTGAGGATGTCAGCATGTCCTTGCTTTCCTGTCAAAGACAGGTGGAAGGGGGTGCTGGAGATCATCTAGACTTGGCTCAATAAAATCGCTGCAATAGAATATAGCAAATAAATGGCCAGGCTCCATTTAAGCCTCCAGTGAATGGGAGCCTATCTGTGCTTTTCTGTTATCAAACAATACAATACAGCCAATCTCACTGTATACATGTTATACTTTGATAATAAAGGTTCATTCATTCATTTGGAATATTTATTTGGATTTGTTCGTCCCACGTTTCTTTTTTCTCTACTTTATTTAGATTTTTTTTTACCTTGCCTTTATTATTTTTATAAATAACTCATGGCAGTGAACATACCTAATAAGAGCCGTAGTAGCACAGTGGTTAGAATGCAGTACTGCAGGCTAACTCACTGCTCACTCCAGGAGTTCGATCCTGACTGGCTCAAGGTTGACTCGGCCTTCCATCCTTCCGAGGTCGGTAAACAATCCGGACCCAGATGGTTGGGGGCAATATGCTGACTCTGTAAACCACTTAGAGAGGGCTGTAAACCACTGTGAAGTAGTATATACATCTAAATGCTAGTGCTACTTCTTCCTCTTTCTTTTTTCCCCACAACAACAACCCTGTGAGGTGAGTTGGGCTGAAAAGGAGTGACTGGTCCAAAGTCACCCCAGCCGGCTTTTATGGCTAAGGTGGGACTAGAACTCACAGACTCCTGCTTTCTATTCTGGTGTTTTAATCACTAGACCAGGGGTAGGCAACCTTGCCTCTTTTATGATTCGTGGACTTCAACTCCCAGAATTCCTGAGCCAGCCATGCTGAGGGGACAGGGAGAGGTTTCCAAGCTGAGCCATGCTGGCTCAGGAATTCTGGGAGTTGAAGTCCACGAGTCATAAAAGAGCCAAGGTTGCCTACCCCTGCATTAGACCATTCACTGATTCTTGCTGAGTCTTCCAGAGCAGCAAATGACAATTTTGGCCTGTCCTCTAAGGACAGCCTTTCAGATACTTAAAGATACCATTAATTTATTTAATTATTAGATATGTATCCTGTCTTTATTTTTGCTCAGTCAAGGTGACATGCATACATAATGTTGGTTGGCTGCAGAATTCTGGGAGTTGAAGTTCACACATATTAAAGTTGCCAAATCTGAAAAGTACTGGTCTAAAATTACAAGCTTGGACCATTCAGACACAGGGTGTGTATTAAGGCCTACACACTGACATTCCTTCAAGCCAACCACTGGCTAGGCCACCCAGATGTGTAGAAGTTTTCTGGAAGACATCAGTGCCATTTTCAAACAGTCTACTGCTATTTCCATCCATCTCAGGGCTCTTCAAACTTGGCCCTTTTATGACTTGTGGACTTCAACTCCCAGAATTCCTCAGCCAGGCATGCTGGCTGAGGAATTCTGGGAGTTGAAGTCCACAAGTCATAAAAGGGCCAAGTTTGGAGACCCCTGATACATCATTTGTTGCCATGAGGACATTCAATACAGTATCTATTTCCTAAAGCCCTAAAATGCCGCATTTTTTTATTACCAGATTTCACACTGACTGAGATAAAGGATGAGTTTCTTCTCCCATTGGAACAATAGAAAGTGCCGGAGTCATTCATATGTTGGAGCGGGATGGTGAGGATGGACCTTTCATTATTTTTTTCTAGCGTCAACTTTGATGGCCTTTGAAATCTCTCCAGGTTTTCATTAATGTTCATCCTGTTAGAAATCACACTGCAAATTTCTATCTGCTCCATTTTTAGGCCTGCACAGATGGGGTAATGAGGAATCCAGTACCATGTGAGTTTGACTCTGTTCGGGCCACATGGAATTTTAATCTCACCTCCAGCACTGACCTCCATGTCTGAAATTATGAGGATAAAAAAAATGTTAATTAATTAGTCTTTACCCATCGCAAAGCCAGCCCCAAATGCCCAAATCACAAATTTTCTGCGAACCTGAGGCATCTGTAGCAGGGGAGGGAGGGGACATCAGAACAGTCAAGATGGCAGCCTGGACCCCATGATCAAAATCCACACGTTTTTTACACCCTCCAAGGTGAACATCTTGGCCAACCTTAACTTCTGGCCAAGCCTCAGAACCACAGCAACAGAGAGGAAAAGCAATACTATTAAATATACAGGTAGTCCTCGACTTACGATCACTATTGAGCCCAGAATTTATGTTGCTAAGTGAGACATTTGTTAAGTGAGTTTTTCCCAGCTTACGACTTTTCTTGCCACATTTGTTAACTGAATCACTGCAATTATTAAAAGTAACATGGTTGTTAAGTGAATCTGACTTCCCCACTGACTTTGCCTGTCAGAAGGTCGCAAAAGGGGATCACATGACCCCGGGACACTGCAATCAT